CAATCCATATTCTAACCACTTGCAGAGCCTTGCAGGTGAGGAGGGCGACCTCCACTTCTTGTTCCCTCTCCACATAGTTGCTCACAGACATCTCCCAATTCCTTCTATTGATTTCTAAATACGGAAATAGGAAACAGGATCAATCAACTGAACTGGTGAAACACTAGGAAGAAAAACCTTCAGAACACGGCCAAACAGCCCAAAAAACCTACAACAATCATCGGATCCTGGCCGTGAAAGCGTTCGAAAATAAATCAAGTAAACCTTTGAAAGGTATTAGAGAGAAGAACAAGGAGTGTTCTAAAGCATCATGTCTCCAGGCAGTTTATTTATTTATTACATTTATATCCTACCCATCTAGACTGCATCGACTCTCAAATAGAAGTTGTTCTCAAATAGAAGTTGTTTTGGAGTGATGCAAAAAGTCTACTTCATTGGTTTGTGTCGGCTTGGGTTTTGGCTTCCCATCGCAGGCATCTCCTTTCCCATAAGAGGACAGAGCACTTCACCCGCAATCCTCAGCCTTGCATTCTCATTGCTCATCTCAGGTCCCAGACTCTCTGTCTCTCTCCAAAGGGGCAACCCAATGTCCAAGCTTGTCACTGGATAAGGACAAGTTCTGGAAGGGACTTTGGCAAATAAGAGCAGACGTGATATCCTGATCTGACTGGGACATCTTGTTTCTAGGTCATTCCATCTTGGAGAACATGGAGAACATGGAGAATACATCCCATCACGACACAGGTGAGGGAAGTGAAACAGAATCAATATGAATCATCAGTGTGTGCTTCACTTGAGAGCAAAAACGAAGGCAGTGGAGCCCTCCCTGTCTTGCTAGACTGGAGTCCTCCCCATTTGCCAACAGCACCAATGAGGACGAGGGCTGAGGGGAGCTACAGTCTTAGCAAGATCTGGAGGGCCACCCCTTCCTCACTTCAGCCCAAGAAATTTGTTTAGAAAAGAATAGCTTGAGTGGGTTGGAGCTCGGTCTATCTCTTTTAACCCAATTTTCTCCTCCTTTTTCTCTTGATCAGGGTTTCCTAATGTAATAGTCAAGGTGGAAGAAGAGGAAAAGCTGAATGAGCGTGAAGTAGAGACTTTCTCAAGGACCAGCTCAGGTGAAGGATGGGCTACCAAGGGCCATTAACTGTAAAGAAATGTCGGAGTCACGTTGCACCTTTCTAGCCTCTTTCCCCTTGCATTCTTCCAGTGCTCCTGCGGGAGGACTGTGTGGTGGAAGTTGACCTTTCTGCAGCCTGTATTTTATTGTTAGCAGTGTGTTCCTAAGGACAGGATCACCAATGAAGTTCCGTGAAAAGTGCTATCTGCAATTTTCGGGAGTATACAGGTAGGGGATGTACTTTGATCAGGAGGACTTAAATTAAAAATAATTCATCTTTTAAATAGCTGAATGGTTAAATTGAGGGTTACATTTCTGTTGCCTTCCAGATGTTTCGAACTACCGTTCCCATCAGCCAAAGCCAGCGTGACCAAATTTTCAAGTGTTTGTCGCTCCCAGGCAATTAATTGATGAATTCATTTCAATCCTGTTGACTATCTTTTCTTGCCTTTTTAATTTCCTATAGGATTTCTGGACATTGCCATAAAGTCAGAGAAGGAAGAAGGGTTTTGCAACCAGGGATCGGAGGAAAGCAGAGATGCTGCTCTTCGCCAGTCAGGTGGGATAAATGTTCATCCGGTAGAGGGACTGGATTTATTGATCTTTCTGGCCTCTCCCTGCTCTGCAATTCTACGATTGATTGATGCTTGCACCCAGTGAATGAACGAATGAAATATGGCACCCTTGCTGACCATTTCTTCTTGCCTCTTTCCTTTCAATTCAGGATTTCTTGATGTTGTCGTAAAGCCAGAGGAGGAAGAGCAGACGTGCAAACAGGAATCCGTAGAAAGTGCAAGAGTTGCCTGGGACCAAGCAGGTGAGGGGAGCGGTTCGCATCGTTTTCCCACCGGGGCCTGGCCAGATCGGGTCCCTTCTAACTCTACAGTTCTAGGATTCTGTGGTCCTTAAAGCTCTTCAGTTCACAAAGGACTGTGGCCATCTTAAGCTCCTTTTCTTGCCATTTCCCTTTGATTCAGAGTTTCCCGAAATTGTTGTAAAGCTAGAGGAGGAAGAGCAGCAGGACAGTCCGCGCGCCGAGGAAAGGACCAGCATCGCTGCAGACCGGCCAGGTGAGGTAGCGGTTCATGTACTTGCATTGCCAGAGGGTGGGGTGGGAGGGGAACATGAACTTTGGGACATTCCAAGGCTCTGTGATGCCATTGTTTTCTGATTCCTGTCACCCGCCAGGTGACGAAACATCTTGTTCATTGATGGCCACCTGTTGTCACTTCCCTCCTTCCATTCAGGAGTTCCTAACCTTGTCATAAAACCGGAGGAGGAAGAGGGGCTCTTTAACCAGGGGCGTCAAGGAAGTGCAAGTGTTGCTGGTGAGCAGTCAGGTGAGGGAGCCCTTTGCATTGGGAAGGGGTTGAGCTGGATGACCTTTGGGATCCCTCCACGTCTAGGATTCTGTGACTCCACCATTCCTGCAGCCAATTCTGTGACTGCCTCCCTGCCCACTACCTTGTTTTGTCTCCTTTCTGTGATTCCGTATTTTCTGAGGTGACAGTGAAGGAAGAGAAACCACCACGCATCCTGGATCTTCATGGCTCTGAGGAAAGTGAAAGCATTACTGCTCAGCCGGCAGGTGAGTGAGCCATCCATGTATCTGAAGAGCCAGGATTGGGATGCTGCCTTCAACCAAGCTAGATTATTTTTTGTCCCTCTTCCAAATCTCAGGCACATGTGAAACCAATTCAAAATTGTAATGATATGTGTTTTTGAAGTTATT